TAAATACAATCAGCACTGAAAGCATTATTCTGATTACTCTTTGAAGCAGTCATATAAAATAACCCTAGAATATCTCACTGGAGTCACTCACTTTTCTCTGGACTAGGAAAAAAATATCTCTAATTTTCTCTTTCTCCTTCCCTTTAGTCCACGTGGTCAGTCTCATTGGTCTGTACTGGAATTCTGCAATCTACATAATGGACAGATATTTTTCCTGGGGTGTGACGTCTGAAATTAGAAGCAGTGTTCTGATAATGACTTATTTATGGTGAATAGAACAAAATGATTACAAACCCATTCTGAAAGATAAATAGGAAGGCTTCTTCATTCACTTCTTTGACTGAGAGAAAGCTTAGTTAATATGAGTCAGCTAAATTGGCAATACCACAGAGGTTAATCAATCATAGTAGGATGAATGTCATGATACAAGAAAGAGGGGCATACCAAGTCCATTTGAATTATTACATATAGGAGTAAGTTTTCACATCTAACTGGCACAGGGGACAAAGTCTGCAATGTGCTTCCTAAGTGCAGTAAGTTGTGTCAATGTTATCCTCTGGATTTTTGGTGGAATACTTGCATTTTAAGCTAAGCATTAGTTTTTGTTTCATATGCAATTAAAATGAAAATACTTTGATCTCATTCAAGGTGCAAAGGGTTCTGCTGATCTGGAGAGATGAGTCAGAAGTGACTCATCACCTATTTTTTGGCAAGACGTTTAGAACATGGACAAATCACAAGGTGAACAGTAGGAATCATTTGAAACACCATGGTCTCTCACTGCTATTTAAAGGCTTGGTTGGTTTAATGTTGCTTTGTTTTAAAAAAAATTCTCAGACCTCACAGATATAACAGAAGACATAAGGTTTCTCCTGACTAGAAGACTTTTTAATCTCTTTACTTAGATTTCACAGATGGTAATATTCTGCCAGGTAACACAGCCTGTGTAGTAGAACCTACCACAGGTAGCAGTTGCTATCACCTGTGATCTCTTGAAGTACAGAAATCAAAAGATTTTGGTTCTCACAGTGTACAGATTCCAAAAGAAACCTTCCAGTCACACATTTCTGGTTGTGTTGTGCCCTTTTTAAAGGGTGGCTGTAGTGTCAAATAAAAACATGTAAATAGCAGTCAGTTCCATACAGTATCAGAATAGCATTTAAAGTCAGACCATTTCTAACCAGATGTTTCAATCTCAGTACCAAAGGCAAACGGTTTCTTCTTTACTAGAACCATTTTCTATAGCTTAATGCTGTTAATAACAAAACAAACAATTGTTAGTTACCCTACTTTGGGGATTTTCAGAGTATTGCAGATATCAGATATGAGGCTAACCAGAACTATTATTTCAAGTCTAAGCCTGAAATGTCTTAGAGAAATGAGAGTAACAAATGGACAACAAAATCATTGAGAGAGATTGTTCAGTTAAGAGCTATTAGCTGGATTCATAAGGTTGTGGGGGATGTACACTATACCAGGAGGGTCACTGCCAACTAGAAATTCAAGTGCAGATTTATCCTATAGCAGCTTAGTCCATCCACTCTTTCTTCTGAAATATGAGATGTTATACTTTCTCATTTAGCAGAGGAGAAATATACTGCTATCAAATTAAGATCAGATAGGGAGCAGTTAACAGTTATGGTCTCTCGCCAGCTTTGTCTCTGAGAACCTGCAGTGTAATTTTTATAGCAAGTTAAAGACTTCAGAAAATATCAAAAGGAAACTCCTTCATTGCAAAAATGAAAGCAATTCATTCCCTCATTTGCCTTAACACAGACATGAATGAAGCAGCATGTTGTTCAGAGACACGGTTCTGACAAGGAAAAAAAGCAAAATAAACACTGTCTTGATCATACTGTTTGTACCTCATTTAGTCAACTTGGTATATTTATTTTCCCTCATCTAATCTTTACTGGCCACAGAAAAATCAATTTTCTAAAACTTGCATCACAACTGAAGTTATGAATCATTGTATCATTATTTTCATTACTATTTTCATTTCATTTCTAACAATCCAAGTATTCTGACTTGCCAAAGATATCCTTGTTTCCATATTCTTTTGAATATGAACCGGCTTGAAATAATAAATATTGTCTCTTTTCTGAGTGTTATCTTTTGTATATTGTGTATATTTGTCTGCCAACCTTATGTCTTCTTTCTAACTCTCATCATCTAAGCTAATTCCATTCTTTTACTCCAAAACCTGTGTCTCAGGTTGAGATTCCTGATCTCACACTCACCAGGGTATGAGACACTTCCAATTCTTCACCTCTCAACCTTCTCAAGTGTTTTCTGGATGAAAGGGAAAGCACTGCCCAGTGAATGTTGGTGCCACACACACTGGATTACCTCGAATTCTGTGTGTGCTCTCAGAGGATCCAGCCTCAGCTCTGCCTGTTCAGGAAGAAGCACCAAAGCTAAAAGTGAGCTCTTGAATTCTGCTAACTCCTTTGGTTGATTCACCTGCCACTGGCTGTGGTTAAAACTGAATGCAAGAGGTACAAAAAATGGCTCTATGCTAGAACAAATCAGGTCTTACACAAACTGTTAGTTTGGACTTACCTTAAGTAATGTTATACCAGTCCAATCATTTTGAACCTTAGACTCACCATCTAACTTTTTCATGGAGGAACAGCTCACGGGAAGAGGATCCAAGTAGTTCACTTTGACTAGCTTAGGACCTCCACAATATCCAGAGGTCTCCAGAAGCACAGAGAATTTTGTCCTTACAGAAAACTTTGTAATCTAGTTCTGTATGCACAGTATGCATGAGAGCAAGTAATCCAACACACATTGTAAGTGAAGGCAATGAGGAGATGAAAGACTCTGTCTGAACCTGAGAATATTATACATAAAAGGTGTATCTACTGCATCAGCATAAACTTCAGTGTAAGCTAATTTGGTCCACTTCTTAAAAAATAAAAAATGTGGTGTTGCATTAGGAAGTATTTAAGTGTGTTCTTTTGTGTGGTTTTCATTGCTTCTTAGCATCCTCTGGTAGCTGTGAATTGAGGAGTGATCACAGATTTGGTTGTAATTTTTCAGTGGGTGAGGCCAGAATAAGAGTGATATGCTCTATCTGGAGAGATGTTATTTTTGACAACAGCTCAATCAACATCCAAACGACCCTTCCTCACCATTTTTGGAGGATTGAGACACCTTTAGCTGGTTACATCCACTACTGCAAACATGTCCTGAATCAACCTCTCCTGACATTTGTACATTCTTTTCCCCTTGCTCCTAGAGTAAAAATTAGTCACATACTGTGCATACATAAATAACAGACATTTTAAGAGGGATTTTGAATACATTCATAACTAAACATATTTTTGAAGGAAGCTATTGTAACTTGAAAATATCCAATCGGTTTGTGGCTTGTTACTGACTTCTAAAGTTGCTTCAGTATTTCTAAAGTTTAAGGGAAACCTGAGATAAGAAAGTCGGTGGCAAAGTTGTCACCAGAAATGAATGCTGCCAATGTTTTAGTAAAAGATAAAATGTTAGTTTCACCTTCTTTGTTTTTTTTTTAAATTATTTTTAATAATATTTTATAAGAGGAAACTAAAATGGAAACCTATCATAAAATAATAGAACACTAACCATAGACAAACTCATTTGTATAATTTTCTTAGTCAAAGGGATACTAAACAGCATTAAAATGATATTTTGTGTATACAAACACACAGGCTAAACACAAAATGCTGAGAATACAGAAGAATCATTTCTGTAGTCTTCACATTATCTGTTAGGAAAATATATGGTCAAGTATTATGTATAAAATACAAGTGACTGATCAATAAGTGCCAGCTCCAATAGTGCAACATTTTAATAATAACCCAAATACCTGGTTTTAACACTGCTTGTGTTACCAAAAAAAAGGCAGTGATAGTAATAATGGTAGCAAAGAGGGATTTGGCACTGAAGATATAAAATAGCAAAAGCACATTTCACTGGTCTTTGGTTCAACGAAAGCTTAGTGAAAAATAAAAATAGTAATTAAAAAAAACCACCAAAAACCTTTCTGTTATTTAAAGTGGCCAGTCAAAGAGCAGAATAAAAATTGGTCTGTGTGAAATAGGCCAATACAATTTACACAAGGTTATCTTAGGAATGTTGCTCCTTTTCAAGTCAGCTGGTGCCAATATAAACCCAAATATGCTAAGATCCATCTAGCAATGGCACATGTGCATTTGGGTTTATTCAATCCCACTACAAAACATATAAACGTTTAGTATTAAAAGCTGCACCTTTAAACCTAAGTTTATTTGTGGCTTGCTTACACGCTCATAGCCAAATTTATGCCTTACTTTTTGTTTGCTTTCAAATGAGACTTACAATAGTAGTGCTCCTAAAAATACATTTGTGTGAAAAGTCTAAGATTCTTATTTTGAAACTCAATAATCTAAACTCTGAGGTTTAGCTTACTGTTAAGCTTTAGACAAAGTTTTCACGTTCTGGTTTCCATATGTATATTTCAGGAGATACAGCAAACTTGAAGGCAATATAAGCTGTGTCTGTGATGGAGGAAAAGATGTGAGTCACATTAAAAGAGCCATTTTGAAACAACAGTTTGTCTTTAAAAAAAAAAAAAAAAAAGCACAAAACCCCAAAAGTCTTTAATTCACCTAAAGTTTTACATACAAAGAATAAATGAGATACAATCTTATTTCCTTAAAATTTAATATTGGCAATCGGTGCAAGATAAAAATCTATGATGTGGTTGACTTGTTTTTAAACAGGAACCTGAGAAAGGGCAGGAAATATAACATGACTTATAACTAAAATAAAATAAAATTCCTTCATAATTTAAGTAGCTGAACAGGTTTTTAATGTTCTACCACAAAACAGCAAGGCAACAGATGATAATGGCCTTGTAGTCAATGAATTATCATGAACACCCACTGCAAACCTGAATATTTTCTGCAAAAATAAAACATCAGATTATGCACAATAATAAAAAGCATCAGAAATAGATGCACCTGGATTTTTTTTTCTTTTTGAAACCACAAATATCAGAATTCAGCATTTATGTCACAGTCCTTGTACAGTTGCTCTGAGATGGCTACATTAAGCACACTACTGCACTAAGTAGACACCCCACAACAGGCTTACACTGCAACAGAGTTTTCATATAGGCATAGACTTTTTCTCATTCATGTCCAAAACCAACATTAAATAAGCAACTCAAGACAATATTAGGATTCATCCCACATTTCCTTGTTAGTGAAAAGTTCTTGCCATTTTGGTAATTGAAGTCACTGAATGTTTTTAAAAATTGCAGGTACCTCAAGGAAAAGAAGAGTTCCATATTCAGCAAGGCAGCATTATATCAGGATATTTTATACCAACTAAGGCATAAAGAACTTTGCATCAGGGTATACAATATTCAATCTCTGAATAAAGTTTCATATTCTGTGTGGCGAAAGTGCATAGGAGTGGGATTCCACTAGAGTAAAAAAAATCCTCTCACAGTATTAAGGCCTTTCAATTTTATGTGAACTGTGTCAGGCTAAAGTCAGCACAGTGGAAAAAATGTAGGCTTATCATCGTACTGGACACCACTGAAGTTTTCTTAGCATGGCTTGTCTTCTCCTAGTTGTCGTTCATCATCTTCATCAGCCTCCTCAATAACCTGAATTTCATCTGCTTGAGGTAAAGATGAGATTTCAGTCAGCAGTTTAGCTCCTTCAGTTTTATTTTTTTCTTCCTCTTCAATCACTTTCTTCCATATTTTGTGATTTTCACTGAGATGGTGTATTAGCTGGCAAAATATTCGTCTGCCTTTTCTCCTTTGAGCTTCTGTAAAATTAGAAGCATACTTGATTGTTTGGCATTTCAAGTAATTGTAATTTACACAAACAAAACCAATGGCACATTGGAAGAGAGATGTTTTAAGCAAGACACACGAGCTAAATATTGAGGCAAATCCTATTTAACACTTTTATTGATGATCTGAACATGGGTTCTGAGTGCACCCTCAGTGAATTTGCAGATGACATGATGTTGGGTGGGAGTGTTGATCTGCCTGAGAGTAGGAAAGCTCTACAGGGAGATCAGGAGTGACTTGATCAGTGGGCTGAGGGCAAATGCATGAAGTTCAGTAAGGCTCAGTGCTGGTCCTGCACTTAGGACACAACAACCCCAGGCAGCTACAGGCTGGGGGAGGAGTGGCTTAAGAGTCAGAAAGGGACATGGGAGTGCTGGTGACAGTGGCTCAATATGAGCCAACAGTGTGCACAGGTGGCCAAGAAGGCCAATGGCATCTTGGCCTGGATCAAGAAGAGTGTGGCCAGCAGGACCAGGGCAGTGATCATCCCCTGTACTCAGCACTGGTGAAGTCACACCTCGAGTGCTGTGCTCAGTTTTGGGCCCCTCACTATAATAAGGACATTGAGGCTGTGGAGCGAGTCCAGCCAAGGGCAGAAAAGATCAGAAAAGGCCTAGAACACAAGGAAGGCCTGGGGGAGTTGGGTTGTTTTGCCTTGAGTAGAGGCTCAGGGATGATCTTGTGGCTCTCTACAACTACCTGACAGGGGTTGTAGAGAGGTGGGGGATGGTCTCTCCTGCCATGGCTGCAGGGAGAGGACTAGAGGGAATGGTCATAAGCTGAGACAAGGGAGATTCAGATTAGATGTTAGGAAAAGTTTCTTTGCTTTTAGGGTATTCAGGCACTGGAATAGGTTTCCCAGGGAGTTGGTGGAGTTACCATCCCTGGGATTGCTTGAGAGGCATCTGGATCTGGCAGTGGAGGGTATGGTTTAGGGGTTACAGCAGAGTGTCAGGTTAATGGTTGGGCTCGATGATCTTAGAGATCTCCTCTGACCTTGATGAGTCTATGATGCTTATGCTGAATATTTAGTGACATGGCAAAGGGCATCAATGAGTTTCTGTTTCAAATTGCAAGTCTCTTGGGAGTAACAAAAATGTTATTAAAAGAGTAAAATTTATGAAGGAACATAACACTAAAAACTACAAAATTCGTATTACACAACTTCAACTGTCATTGCTATGTCTGAATCTATTAAATGACAACTGTATGTGCCAAATGAAATACAGAAACTTACTCAAAATAAGATCATCTTCCATTTCTTCCTCATCACTCTCTAACTGTGCACCATCATCATCTTCATTACTGTCTGCATCCTCCTCCTCTTCATCAACCCAATGCCCTGGAAGCAACCCAGCTGCATTGTAGGAATTACAAAGGGGACCAACTATGTGAGTAATGAAAGATTCTTGCAGTTTAGCAAGTTGTGGAGAAGAACGATCCATGAAGGGGCTTATAGGTAATCCAAGACTTGCTTCTTCATCACCCTGAAAAAGAAATGGAAAAAGAAATTATCAGAATTTCTCAAAAAATTAACTCTAATTTTTTATTTTAAAGATTACTTTTAAGGAACCAAGTAACTGCAGTCTACAACTCCCTCATGAAGGGATGTGGAGGGGCAGGCATTGATCTTTTCTCTTTGGTGACCGGTGATAGGACCTAACAGAACAACATGAACCTGTGTCAAAGGAGGTTTAGGTTGGATATCAGGAAAGGGTTCTTCCTCCAGAGGGTGCTTGGACACTGGAATGGGCTTCTCAGGGAAGTGGCCACAGTACCAAGCCTGACAAAGTTCAACATGTGTTTGGACAACACTCATGTTGTGATTTTTGGGGCTGTCCTGCACAGGGACAGGAGTTGGAGTTGGATTTTGATGATCCCTGTGGTCCCTTTCAACTCAGGATATTCTGTGATTCTGTGAACCATCACATGGATTGTATCTTTATACTAGAGGCAATACTAGCACAGACTAAGTGAATGAAAATGTAATTAGGCCAATTTAAAATAAAGACACATTATGGCTCCGACTTGCATAGTTCATAATCCTCCCTTCAGCTTTGCTATAAGATATCCTTGTGGCCTGGATGGAGACCTAGTTCAACTGGAGCCGCTGTTCCTCTAAACATGATGGCTTCAGGAGAGACAGAGATTTTACTTCAATTGCTAAGCCGATGAACGGAGAAAATGGGAAAATAATCAGCTATAGTGAGATATTCTGATATGTGGATTCCCCTCCAAGGTCACAGAAGAATGAAATGTCCTATAACATTCAGAATAAAGTGGTTTGGTTTGGGGTTTTTTTTCCCATTTTGTAAACTGGAGATGAAAAAAATTGAACAGTTGCTCATACACAAATCTGAATTATCATCATTTATCTCAGCACCACCACGGACCTGCTAGTTTTAGAAGAAAAAGTTTTTTCTAAAGGAGCTTACAGTAAGTGTAAGCACTTCAGATTATTATTGCTATTGCTTCTATCTCCAAAGGAACTGTATTGTTTACTTTTACCTTCCTACTTTAACAAAGTGTTTTTCAATCCTTGGCTAATGCCTCATAAATAGTTAACTCCTCAGGAAGGTGACCACAGAAAAATAGCAGAGAATATAGTCTACAGATTGGGGGGCTTCTAGAAATTGTAAATGTAAAAATAGGCAACAAATTTTTAGATTTTTCTTCCACTTAATCTATAGACTAATAATATAAAATAGAATTATTTAACAAAGTTCCACTGTGAAATTCTTACTTACTTTTTTAATACTGTTAGTTACTAATGTATTCTTAATACTTCATTTTGAAAGCTTTGAAATATCTTCTGTCTTTGCACTAGTAGTTAGCTGACTATACATTTCCAGTTTAGGGGATTTTTTTACATATTCTTTGACCTGGAAAAGTATCTGTGAACTTAACCTCCCAAAGTGGAAGAAGTTATTTTGGCTTATCAGTATCATCCTAGGAAAAGAATTCTTCCCCTCCAAAAAATGCCCTAATATCTGAAGAATGGACAACATTGGCCAGGAGCTTGTTTTATGACACAATTAGTAGGAAGTAAAAGATCATGTTAGTAAGATACCTATAAAAATAAATTTTCAGGATTCAGAATGAGAAGATGGAAATATCTTACCTGAAGAATTAACACAAGGAATAATATTTAATTTAGTTAAACAATTGGCAAAGCAAAGAATCAATAACCTGCCCATCATTACAAATAGTAATTACACTTTCCACACTCACCTGTTCATAAAATTCGTTAACAATGCCTTCTGTCCATTTCAAATGCAGCTCTCTAACTTTGGCTGGACCATTAATATCTGCCAGTTTGATGCATATTTGACAGGCCAGTAGGCGATCATTTTCATTGCTCCACTCTATACCATTACTGTTGATATCATTGACCTGGATTGAGCACATAACATTTTAACAGTTAAGTTAAACTATTCATCAGTGGGTTTGGTTTTGGTTTCTTTCAAGCCCTGAACAACAGACACTTGCAATAATTTTTCTATGCCATGTTTTTTCTTATATAGTACAAGAAGAAAATGTCATTTATTAACTCTCAGAAGATGGAGAAGCGAGATATGATTGAAGTCTCCCGTGGGTCCCTGTGTCACATCTGCTAGGTTTATTAGGCAATCTACAAACAATCTACAGTTGGTTTGTCCACAGGAAAGGCTCTATTTGCATTTTTAAGGACGTAGATTTAAAGAAAATTTTAAATGCAAGTTATTAAAACTAACAGCTACTGAGATGTAACATCATAAAAGATAACATCAGTATATCATGACCAGATCAGTGCAGACACTAAAATGTAACAAACCTTGGCATTAAATTCTGCAAGGAAATCAAAATGCTTCTTGAGATCTGTGGCAAGGATTGCTTCAATCACTAAGAAACGAAAACGCTTGAATTCTACATGATCGAGATTGGATAAAAAGTTGTATTCTGGTCGTGATAAGAAAAGATTCCAGGCAGAAGCAGCATGGTGATTTTCTAAGACAGATCTGTCATTGTAGAGAACAGCCTGCATGGAAAAAAACAGAACACCAAAACCTGGAGAATCATAAATGACAGAGTAAAGTTTCAAAATTAGAATTAAATATCCTGAAGTTTAAGAGCTAGTCAGAAACAACTCTTTCATACACAACAAATATGTACAAAACACATCAGAATTTCTCCAGGAAGAAAAAGAAAAATATTACACAACAGTACAAATTAATTTCCCTATTTATTAAATTGGGCAAATGATCCTAAACAGGCTACAGTTGGCATATAGAAGAGAAAAACGTTCTTTATTCTGATTTCAGACACAGACAATAAATTCTCTGCTTCAAGAATTTCTTACCTGAGGTGCATTTGTGGCCACTAGAAAAGCATTTGTACGACCAGGATGATCATAATCATGCATGGCAGCTGCTACGTATAAAGCCATCAATTCCAAAGCAGGAATATTTGATGCCAGACAACCATAACTGTCATCAACAATAGGACAACTTTTGGAAGAAATGTAGCTGGCTTGAACAGAGGTGATACTACTGGCTTCATCTAAAAAATTTGAAAGCACAAAAATAAAACATTTTTAGAACAGTATTTCACTTGTATTTGTAATATATTTTAAATGACTCAGACAGACACTGTTGTAAATGTAGTATTGTTATCCCTGTAATTATGGAGAAAGACTAATACTTCCAAAAAAAAAGTTTATAAATAAACCAGCAATTTTGAAGAAAGGTTGAAATGCCATTGAGTTACAAAATCGTCGAGGAGAGATTCGCCTTGGTTGTCAAAACTGTATGGTACCTTAAAAGACATGAGAGGAAGCCACTCTTACTGCAGCTACACTTCACTCGTGCTGCAGAAGGCTGGTTCAAAGGAATGTTCCAGCAAGAACAGAAGATTCAGATTAGATATTAGATGTTAGGAAAAATATTTTCACCACTAGGATGGTCAGACACTGGAACAGGTTGCCCAGGTAGGTAGTGGAGTCACCATCCTGCGAAGCGCTTCAAGAGGTGTCTGGATCTGGTGCTGGAGGATCTGGTTTAGGGGTTACAGCAGTGACAGGTTAATGGTTGGACTCGATGATCTTAGAGGTCTCTTCCAACCTTGATGATTCCATGATTCTAGTAGAACAAGTGATAATGGTCATCTAGGCTATGTCTCTTGAGTTGTAATTTAGATTAGAAAACAACCATAACAGTCCAAGCTTTTCATTATTAAAAAGAACATGTAGATCTTTGTTCCATGGGAGGGAGTCATAGAATCATCAAGGTTGGAGGACACCTCTAAGATCATCGTGTCCAACCATTAACCTGCCACTCTGCTGTAACCTGCACATTACTGTTTTGGTTTATCTCTGTCACTTCTTTGCCTTGCCATTCCTGTCATGCTGCTAAAGACATCCTGCTGTTAAGCAAACCTGAAATTTCATTCCCTTCTTAAAATAACATTTCTAACAGAGCATTGTAAAATTTGTCTCCAACCTCAATAAAGCCAAGAAAAGACAAATCAGTATCTCCCTTAGTATTTCTATAATTTGCCTGTTTCTTGAACTTGCAGACCTGTAGGAAAAGCGTGGAGGTGGGGGAGGAAGTTATCACAGCCCCAAGCCTGACAGAGTTCAGAGGTGTTTGGACAATGCTCTCAGGCACATGGTGTGATTCTCGGAGATGTTCTGTGCAGGCTCAGGAGCTGGACTAGATGATCCTCAAGGATCCCTTCCAACCCTGATTATTCTGTGATATTGTAGTTTCATTAAACATTCCTACAGGAAAACAAAAAATGGCCTATGTGAGTACATACCCAGATCACTTGCCATTATATGCTCATTATGAACTTGCTGAAATCCAGGAATGGGCCGTGTTGTCAGGTACCACACTGCATGCAGGACATCTGTGGCATGTATGCGATTGTGATCTGAAAATTATCAAGATATAATAAAAGATATCATCTGAAATGTAACCAAAAGGAAAAAAAAACCAAAAAACCTCCACAAAAAACCATAGTGTACCAAATTCAGTCTGAGATTTTGATTAAATACAAAGGAAAAATTGAATTTAAATTGTTAGTAGTGGTTATATGTATCACTGAACATTTTTAACAGGCAAGTTATATCAACATCAAATACTGTCTGTGCATACTTCATCCTCCCTGGGAGTTAGGAAGGGATTAAGTTGGCTTTTAAATCGATGATGGTGAGGCACTAGCATGGCTTGCAATGTCATACCTACGAGCCTGGGCTGGGCAAACATCTGTGGCATGGTGGTTTGGGGGTGTGTGCAGGGGCAGTGTGTTTCTTGCTTTGTTTTCCAATAAATTTGGCTGTCCCACACAGCAAGATGAATAATTACCATGAGAATTCTCTATTTTCTTATTATTTTATTAAGGACCCCAGTCAAATTTGTGTTAAATCACAAATATTCCTTCATTGACTTCAGTATGTTTGATTCAACTACTCCTTTAAACTCTTTAAGGTTATGTTCAACCTACATGTTAAGAAATTCTATTTTCCAGTCCAACCATTTTTCCTGCAGTTCATTAAATCAGTTATAAGTTCTGTCAAATGTACTCATTAAAAATATGCTGAGCTCAGACATTGTCTATTTCTGTATTAAACTCCCAAAAATGCACACACTAAAGGAGACTAATATAAAAATCCACATGGAATTGTGCAGTACTTACAGGGTATATCTCGGTAGCCATTTTCTAGTGCACAGAAGTAATTCATGAACTCCTGAGTTGGGATTTTGAAAATTTCAAACAAACCAGTGTCTTGAAACAAGGTATAAGTTACCTAAATACATATTAAAATAAATTTTAGTCTGAAAAATATACCTAAGCATATTCTGTTTCTTTGACAAATATTCCTGGTTTACTTGCTGACAGAGATGGAAATGACTGAAATTCAGATTGCTATGGTCATAGAGATACATTTAATGATTTTTAGCCCAAAAATGTAGATTTTTGTAATCCTCACAATACAGAATTACAAAAGTTTTTATTTCCTTACTGATTATTTGTAAGGATATTCTCCAAAGCTCTTAATGTTAAAGAACTCATGCTTTATTCCATTAGTGCCCTAAAAAAAGAAATCTATAATCTTACTCATTATTTAAACATTCAAATTACTTAACTATAGCAGCAGAGTCATTAAAATTAAAAAGAAAAGGAACAACCACCACCACCCCCCAACATTGTGTTTGGCTTTGAGACCTCAGCAAAAAAATCCTGTTCTTTTGTTCATTATGATTTATCTTGGTTGTTTTTAACAAAGCTAGCAAATGAATAAAAAAAGATTTCAAAAATGTACTCAACACCCACAATGTATATAACCTATGTACTGTGGTTTACGTGTAGAACTTAGTTCTACACCAAAACCAAAACCAAAACCAACCTCCCTGATGACAGCAAATATTAAGAAAGTTCTTTAAAACAAGTCACTGCTACTCATTTTAATCACTTTTTTCCTAGACACTTGAGAGAAAAAATAAGTTCCGAAGTGTGGGAGATGCTGAACGAACAGGAGAGCAAAATGAGGGGACATTCCCCCTCCCACCTGTCCCAACCATTCCCCTTTCACATACCCAATCCAAGAACCTTACAACGAATAATGGTAAAATACAGTTTTTAATTGGCTATTAAGAAAGATATGTCTCAGGTGCTTACAGCACAACAGGTAAAGGGATTGGGGTGGGAGGAGGACAAGTAGTACACGTACATACAATATCAGGAAGAACTGATATAGAAATTCTGGTAGAGTTAAAACCTGTACATTTAAGTCCTTACAGGCTTGAACTATCCCCTAGACTGCATACAAATGAAATACAAGCCAATGTGGATCACACACTACTAGTAACCTGCAGTAAAAACACCACTCAAAGGTGGATTGTCCCATTCTAGTCTGTACATTAGCACTTGTCACTAACTCTGGTGACAAAAGACCCAAAAACATTCAATCAAAGAAGACTAATTGAAGATTTCAAACAATACCCAGAATATTGTAAATTATGAAAGAAAAGACAGTGTTTAATGACAAAAAAAAGTGAAATTTCCCCACTGTTGTTTTCTGATTTCTGTACAGGTGCAGCTGATTCCAGCTGTGGTTCCAGCTGCACCTGAGTGCTTCTAGCTTCTTTTCTTCCCTCCAGCTGATTGTTTCTAACACTACCCTTGAACAAGAGTAACATGTATTCTACTCCAGGGTAGGAAACTAAGACACTAGCAATAAAAATATTTTGAGGTCACATCAGAAGCAAATCCTGCTCCACTACAGCTCCATGATTGCCAAATCTACTATAAAGAAAGAGACAGAACCTTCCAGCTGATATTGATGAATGGGAGAGACTGGGGAAGAGCAAACAGGACCACACTTTTGCACCTGCCAGTAAATTGGCTTCAGTACAACATGAAACTGCACAAAAGAGCTTAGTAATAAGTCAGAAAAGATAAAGGGATACTACATGCAGAAAGCAGCACGGAAACAGAATCCCGTTGTTTGTAGGATCAAGAGGCAAAAGACTGCCTAAAATATAACATTTTTTCCCTCACAAGTGTGGCACTAGCAGAAATATTTTACTGAAATAAAGCCAGAAGAAATGGTTGACAAACACAGTAGCAATTCTGAAAGCAGGAGACAATTTTTCACAGGAAATGACATACTATGACAAAACCTAGTCAGTGTGAGTCTAACCTGTTTTTACATTGAGAATCAAACTCAGAAAATTTGGAGCAAGTTGTCTACAGATAAATCACTTTTAGTAGTATACAATTAGATGGACTATGTGAGAAATCATATTTCTACTTTTCAAGGTAGCATTCACATTTATGTTAACTGCAAAACTTCTTCAGTATATAAATAAACCATATAAGCATGACAACTTTGCATACCCTCCTGCAAATAAGAAAAGACAACAAACCTGGCTAAGGATCCTTCCAGACTGGTCTCCCATTTCTTGTACAAGGTCAAAAATTTGGAAATTCCAATTGTTCATCTTCTCCATTAGTGAATCATGGTCTAATAACATTGTTTCTGATGTAGAACTCTGCTCCACCTGTATGAGATTAAGATACTTTATCATCCCTAAAAGAACAATGAAAACTAATTTATCAGTTTTGTTGCCAAAAAAACCCTCATGAAAATGATAAATCATTATTGAACTTATTGAATGGTGCTAAGATAAAATCATAAATCAATAGTACAAACAGCACAGTTAAGGGCTTGACTTCTATTTTGGAACAGCAGATTCCAGGGCTTTCTGAGGTGGTGCTAAATTTTCCTTCTTATTTCTTTTCAAACAAGATGAGTTAATAAAACAAAGCCAAATTATGCCTAGGCTTGCCAAACATTTACTGAGCTTTAACAGTTCATTAAAGAACAAGCTTTAAAATCCTGATGTAGAAACCCAAAATGTTAGTGAAGATGAAACCATTTGTCTCCCTGCACATCCATTGGTAAGTCTCACTGGAACTGCCACATCTTTCATAAACTTTCAATAGAAAATACTAGTTCATCCATGTTTGAGCATACTCTCAACATTAAATCTAAATACATCCATTTTGATCTACAAAAACCCATTACAATCACCATCTTTCTTGTTTGCTAGTGAAATTTAGGCCAGCTAATTGTTAAAAAACAAATTGAATTGCAACAGTGTACTATTTCTCTTCAGAAATTACAATTTCTGCTACACAAAGGCCTTTTTACAGTAATTATAGAAACTATAAACACTGTATTGATAAAAGTTATTGCAAGTTTTTTTTGCAATTACATGCTTACAAGCAGATTATTTTCTGTTTGATCAATCATTTCCTTCCTTTCATCTTTTCTGTTCTCTGTGTGGTGGAAAGGTTCTTTTGAAACATTAGCACATCCAGTTTCACCTTAAAGAAAACACATACAGAAATACTATTACCAATAATGTATTTGCAATTTGCTACTGTCTAATAATTTTTGTAATTTCTTCACAGAAATATAAGCAAGAGCTTGTTTCTAAACCATTTCATTTAAGAATTATACAACAGCTGTAAAGGACAAAATTTCTTAGACAAAGCTGATTTCAAGACTGAGAAAAGCTAAAAGCATAACTTTTTATTTGCAAAAATTGGTTCAGTGATTTGTTTAGCTGAGTTAGTAAAGGACTTGTGTGATATATGGAGTACAGAAATATAAAGGTATGAGTGGAAGACTGTTCTAAAATCCTTACTACAAAGAAGGCAATATTTTAGATTATCTTGATTACCCTAAAACACAAAATAAAATAAAATATATGCATATGAGTTACTGAAAGCATATGAAAAAAAGCTTATGCAGAAATATAAACATTTTCATTTAATTTACTTTATTAATAAAAAGCAGCAAGTTGGTATCAAACATTTATCTATTTTGAAGCCCCACCTGATCTTCTGTCTTTGTATTCTGCAAATTCTGGTTCTGGTGTTGGAACAGGCTTGAGTATCTGACGTCCACAGCTTACAGAACACATGAAAAATATTTACAACATTTAGAAATTTCCTTCTTTGGATACTGCTGTCTTCTACTGAAAAATATCTGCAAGTTACTCTTAAAAAGGTGGAAACAACCTTTGGAAGGTTCCTCCACTGAGTAACCTTCATATTTTCTCCTAAATTTGGCACACACAGATTTAGTCTGTACTTAGAAAACAAGCACCCATCACCTCCCTTGGACTCACTTCCATGAATCAATAAAGTAGAGCTCATTCCTTAGAAAATATTAAAAACTACAGAATTCAATTCCCACATAAGAAGTTCTCCTTTTCTGAAAATCCATCACTGCTACTCTACAATAACAGTTGCAGCAAAAGATGAGCCATTCAAAATCCCTGGCATACATCCTGTATTCTTTAGACTCCCCTGGATAATATGGTTACAGATTATTATGAGATCACATGTCTTTTTTTCAAACTGAGGAGTTGTGTACATCTTGCTATATTTTTTTGCATTTTAACTGTATTCTTTTAAAGGCATATGAAGTTACTAAAAATGTAACAGAGTTTACAGTACCTGCTACACGTATAACCTACAGGTGTTTTGACTTGCTGCTGAAACTCTGGAGAGCTAAATGTGTATCCTGGAAGTTTATGTATATTAATGCTTGGCTTTGTAAGGAAATCAGCAGTATCAGGAAATTCTACAGGTGACCAGTTGCTGAAAGCTCCACTGGAGGCAGATCCATGACTAGGTGAACCCACAGGACTCAGGCCAGGAGAAGCACCTTCCAAAATAAACATTACATGGGGTTCAGATGACAATAAAAACATTACTATTTACTAAGGCTTAAGTATAACAATAAGAACCTTTATAAATTGTAAAGAATATGCAAGTTTCCAAACATGGTGTGTAGTCCACACAAAACTGATTCAATATTAATAACTGACCAAGACAAAAGTATTTTTCTCATTCTTTTGCTATAAAGAAAAAGTACATTTGAGGTACTTTTTTAAAAGAAATCAAAACCAAAACCAGAACTCAGAATGCTGTAATCATGTTGTAGAAGCAAAGGCTTAAGGTGGGCAGAATGACCTTTTTTGACAGCAATGTACCCTGGGTTTTTTTGCCATGATCATCTATCTAAATTTGCCTAATAAACCATAGGAAATAAAACAAAATTCTAAAGTTTTCTCATGGTAATTAGAGATAACAAACAAACAACTCCATCTTCCTTAGGTCCATGAAATTCCCCATTCCT